ATTAGTTGTTGATGTTTAAAAGTAAGTTTTAAAATTGTTGAACTAATTATAAATGAAATGTTTGGATTGAATAATACATTTTTAAACTTCTGTTTGTTTGGGTTATCTGTGCTCTGCCCACATACCGCTGTGCCACTGGGGGCTTTTAAACTTCTAGAAGTTGTAGCAGAGAAAATAAATAATTTGTGATTGAGTGTGATATATTGTTATTATAGGTGTGAAATATTTAAGTGTTATAAAGATATTTAATATTGCGTGCTATAATGAGATATCACACGCGTTCATAGATTTTTCTGTTTTATAATTAACTTTACAATTCACTTCTAGATTTCTATTAGATCTGGATGTACACATTACTTATATTTTTGTTTTTGCTTTAAAAAATAGTTACCTCACCGTCTTTATATTCATGGCATACATTTATTATTGTTACCTATTTATTGTTGGTAACATGTTCGCATGTCAAACAATTTATAATAACACATTGTTGTTATTTTGAATTACATAAACTGTTTATGAGGTTTTGAGTACTTTTTAATTCACCATACAGTAACCTAAATTATTTTAGGTATGTGAATAATGCTATGACATTGCGCCTAATTTATTATTCTATGTTATACAGCAGACTGTTTAATGATTATATATTGTTACGTCTCTGGTCGTTAGTTAATTTCCCGTATAATTTCTTTCCGATGAAACTTTAGCGGCACAAGTCCTTTCTTAAATAAAACTGGTTTATTCTTTTTGAATACAACTTTGCAATACACTTAATTTCTACAGTCACGCTATAACAAACGCTACAATTCACAACGAACGACTCACGTGCTCGACTCAACAATATGTCTCTCTCTGTCCGCAGTTCAATTACATTGTTGCCGTCACTTCTTGGCGGCTTATATATACAAGACTACCGCATATCTAGTAGCCTCTCGAGACTTCAGGAAGGGACAGGATCCTTCTAGAAGTTCATGACGTGTTACTAGTGTCACGTGACCCAGCGTCGTAACAATATATATATATATATATGCGTTAAATACTTCTTTTCTTTTTTTCACTAAAGGTAAAATTAAAAAGAGAATATGTGACGTATAGGCCCAATGAATTCCTTGATTAGCACACACTGAATTAACAATTTAATTTAATGGTGAATTAAAAAGGACTCAAAACTCTATAAATATTAAATGCAATCCACCATTTTAAGAGGTCTAATTGTATTTCTTTGGTTTGCTGAACTGAGCTATTCTGATATACCTTGAATAGGCAAAACTGCAGTCCTCATCGCCCTCTACGATCTTATGCCTGTCGTTACTATCGGCTCCAACGTCACCACGGTACGTGATTAATGCGGTCACTTTTTAAAAAGTCATGCTTAACTTGATGATGACCTAAGAAGATCGAAACGTTATTATTTGTTTTGTGTTTGAATAAATGTTTTTAATACCAATATCAGCCGTCTCTACTATGTATATATTTCATCTGAACATTCGAATTTTAACACATTTGTTATATGATTCAGTTTTAGCTCTTACCCTGATGAAATGCTTCTTTCTGTAAATAAATTCGTTTTTAACTTATTATTTTGAATTATTAAGTGTGTGATATGCAGGCATAGATTTTTATGTTGTTCTTTTTTTACCTGCTTCGTTTGTTTGTTTGAAGTTAAGCACAAAGTTACACAATTTGTGCTCTTCTCATCAAGTGTATCGAAACCCGGTTTTTAGCAGACGTACCACTGTGCCATTGAGGGGTATTAGTTAAGTACAAGATCGCAAGTTTGGGTAATATGAAGATAAAATATAATCTTTAAGAAAAACTAAAAAAAAATACTAAACTAATCCAAAATGAATACATGAAATAAATATTATATCAACAATGAAATATGGGAAAAAACATTAATTTTTGAGCTATCAGTTTAAAAAGTGACCTCAAACTCCTTCCCTATAGTCTAAAAAGTGAAATATATATATTTTATTTTTTTTATTGGACGATCATGGCTTCTCAAGACTCTTTCAATCAGTGGAACTTTGCGTGGGAGAAAAATAACACAAAGTGGCATATACAGGAAAGACATCCGTAAGTAAAACTGATTTAACGAAATACTTACCATAGATTACTCAGTGAAAACCTGGGAGAAAAATAACATTGGATGTGTGTATGTAAGTAAAACTAAAACAGATTTAAAGAAGAACTATTTATTGACTATTCAACGTAAGCCTGGGAGTGGGAGTAAACTAAGCCTGGCATAACGGTAACCAAAAGAGATGTATGTTAATATTATTCTAATTAGTATAAGTATAATTGTTATAGATAATCTATATGAGCTGGACAATTAATTAGTGGAATTTGCTAATCAATTAATTGTTGGGACCATCAACTAATTGATTATTTTTGTGAGGTGGCTAGAAATAAAGAAAACCATTGGTTACTGGACAGTTGGAATAATCGAAAACAATGGTAATAAAAAACACTGATTTTGGTTAGTTAGCTATTTTTGCGTCTTTAATCAATTTAATCAAAATTTAGATTAACTGATTATTTTACATGACAATAATTTTTGTAGTCAATGCTTATAAGTTGTATTTGAGGTAATCACCCAGCTCTAATGTTTATAAGACAAGTGACCCAAAGATGTTGTACTTAGTTATTTGAATGTTCCAACCACAATCTTATAATTTTTTATTACATTTATAGTTAACTATTAATTCAGTTATTTTTTACTCCAAGGACATTGTTTTGTTATCTTTTTATCAATTTGTTCATCAGTTGGAATGGGAATCTTACATTATTCTTTCATAAATTGCAGAAATGCTCTTTCACTTTGTGAGGACTGATTAGGCTTAGTATAGCCATTTCACTTGAATACATTGGTGTATGACTATGACTATTTGTTATTCATGTGTTTTTCAGCTGATCCTTAGGTGCATTTTGTTTAAGCAGGTTACCGCATTTGTTATCACACATTTAACTTGCATTTGACTTCATTAATTCTGAACTGAATAAAAAATATTGGGAAGTTTAAAAAAATGACAAGGCTCCTGGGCCAGATAATATTTCTCCAAGGGTTTTGAAGGAGGTTAAAGATTGGATATGTGAACCACTTACTACTATTTTTGGTCAGTCCTTGAATAGTGGGCAGGTATCAGAGGATTGGAAGTTAGCTAATATAACTTCTCTTTTCAGGGGAGGTGATAATATTTGTCCCAGTAATTATAGACCCATTAGTCTTACATCAGTTGTGGGAAAAGTTTTGGAAAGTCTGTTAAAAGATGCTTTGCAAAGTCATTTAACAAAACTTAGAATTTTATTGGATGGTCAACATGTTTTCACTGAGGGAAAATCTTGCCTTACAAAAGTTTGGCATTCTTCGAAAAGGTTACTGCTTATGTAGGTGAGGGTAAGGGTGTAGATTTGGTGTATCTGGATTTTTCAGAAAGCATTTGACACGGTGGCACGTAAAAGACTAGTAAAAAAATTATCTTTATAGGTTTGGTGGATAAGTTAGCAAACTGGATAGAAGAGTGGCTGAATGGGAAAAAGCAGAGGGTTGTTATAAATGGATTAATGTCACAAGTGGGATACCTCAGGGCTCAGTCTTAGGACCTTTGCTCTTTTTGATTTATATGAATGATGTAGATGAAGGAATAGTCAATAAATTCCTTAAATTTGCAATAATATTAAGGTCTTGGGTGTTGCTAGCTGTGAAGATGATGCTGCTGATTTACAAAAGGATTTAGATCATCTAGTGAGTTGAGTATATAAATTGCAGATGGGTTTTAATTATAATAAATGTAAGATAATGCATGTGGGTTATCCTAATTTGAATTATAAGTATAATGTGTTATGAAGGAATGGGATCTTGGTGTAGTGGTTGAAAAGTCTCTTAAGCCATCCAAGCAGTATGCTGTTGCTAGTGGTAGGCAATTATCTACAGAAATACTGAATACAAATCTAAAGAGGTTATACTTTCATTATATAAGTCACTGATTAGACCACATTTGGAATATTATGTTCAGTCTTGTGCTCCTTACCTTAGAAAAGACATTGAATTGTTGGAAAGGGTTCAGAGAAGGGTTATTAGAATGTTGCCTGGGATGAAATATGAGGAGAGACTAAAATCTGTGAAATTGATTTTTCTTGAAAAAAGAAGAGTTAGAGGGGATCTGATTGAGGTGTTTAATATTGTAAGGGAATTGATAGTGTTGATGCATCATTTTTGTTTATATTTAATACTGAGAATAGTAGGAATAAAAAGGACACAAATATTGGCAAGGTAAGAGTCATCTTCAGCTAAGACAGTTTCAATTTTCTAACAGGATGATTGACCTTTGGAATGAGTTGCCTTCGGATGTTGTAGAGTTAGCAAATTTGTTCCAAAACATTATGTTATGTTATATGTTATTTAATATGCGTTATAGTTTGCAAATATTTGTGTCGCCTTAAGAACACTGTTGTTTTATGCTATATAATTTTGAAACAGTAAAGCTATTATTGTCTTTCTCTTAGAATTCTGGATGAGCCTAGTACAGCCTTTGAATCAAATGTATAGGTTTTTCCATTGAAGATGGCTAATGTTATTTTGCTTTACTGTAGGTAGTTACTCATTGTCACAGCCACAACTAAAACATTTTAACTGTAATAAACCATGCTTTGTTGGCCTAGATTTTTAAAAGGCAATAAGTACTAAATTGTTGTTGATTTCCTATTCACACATGGAAAGTTGATAAAAAGTTCTTGGGGGTTATCTCTTCAATACATTTTATGATGTAATTTTTTTGCCACTTCTATTAATAAAGTAATATTTTCATCAAAATCTCTTTAGCAATGGAAGACAATAGTGCAGTATTATTACTGTCTAGAGTGTATAATAAATCTTTAAAGTTAGCAAGACAAGTGTTTTCAAGTTAGAAATATGTTTTTTAAGTTCAATATTAAAGTTAGTTTGAATGATGAAAGTTGGCAAAGTATAGGTAACCAAGAGATCTAATATTTGTTTCAAAAACTATGTTAGACAATAAATGTTCTTCACACACATTAGTTTTGATTTATTAGTTATGGATTTCAAATCAGAAGTGTGTAAAAAATGGCATGTCAAATCTATCTGAAATTAAAGCATTATATGTCAAGAGCAGTGTTATAGCTGTCATTTACAGCAAAAGTTTAAAGTGAGACATTAAGTATGACAATTTGCTTAAAGAAACATGTATGTACAGTTCTTAAAAAAAATATGATTTGTCTAAAAAGACTCAGTGTGGTTCATTTACACATTCCAGTTTGCTTAAAAATAGTGTTTTACTCTGTTAAATCACATCTTCATCAGAAATCTAAAAATATCTACAAAAAAACTGACACTATAGTTTATGAACCTCAGTCCTTGTTTAAAGTAGTTTCAACAACACATTTAGATGAATCACAATTATCCACCTAAACCTACTTTAAACAAGGACTAAGGTTTACTGTTCAACAGACAGAAGTGCTGAATGTTAATATGTGGTTCTAATTTTGCCATAAACAGCTTTAAGACAGAAAAACTTCTGTAAACACATTGTAGGGAATGACATCATTCTTGCTAGCTCATACTTTTCTTGATGTAAGGAATGCTTTGGCAGTGAAGTAGAAGTAGGAATAGTATTATGGCAGTATGTGCATTGATTTGTTTTGTATAAACATAAATTCTTCATTGTGAATCCATGCCTGTAACAAATTTTATTTCTACTTTCAGGTATTTGGAAAAGTATACAGATGTTCTTCTTAATGGTCGTAAGGAAGTACAGATTTTCTTTCCAATGTGTGGAAAATGTGTGGACATGAAATGGTTAGAATTATATTCAGTGTTTTAGCCTGAAATAATTGCAGAAATCCATTTTCATTAGTGTAAGATTATTTTCATATATAGACACACACACACACAGCTTGAATGACAGGCAGTTTCTGGCTATCAAGTATTAGTGTACTTACCTATATGTGTGATATGAAAGCTTTCATGCATTTTATATTAAACACAAGTATTTTTTGTTTTAGTAAAGTGTATAGAAAATTTGCCAGTTGTTATAAAACTATATTATTTTAAAACAGTTATTTTTTATTCTTTCTGTTGATAGAAAATTACATAATTTTATATCCTGAGTAGTAAGTTTAAAGTAGTTTGTAAGTTTTGTGATTTTACTTGTTGAGCTGGGTGATTAGTGAATATGCTAACTTATTAACTGTCGGTCTCATTGATTGATTACATTTAGCTAGTCGATTATTAATTCTTATATGAAACTAATATTCCTGTTTCAACCCTCCTTTAGTTTTGTAAAATACTTTTTGAACTACCTTTCTTTTAATATGATAGACATTTTTAAGTACAACAATTTATAATTAAATTAATTTTGTGATATGGTACATTACCTCTGCACAGAGATTTGGCTATTCTAGTTCAGTGCTGCCCTCTATATGCAACAAGTTACCACTTCAGAGGTAATACCATCTGCCAGCACACTTACACAGGTGGCAGGTGTGTGTATGTGTGGGGGGACTTGACTGTGAAATTATTGGCTCTCATTGATTTTTATATGAGTCAACCTTCTCCTGATGTTGCCCTTTTTTTTCCTGAACATATTTGGGATGACAAGGAATTTGACAGCCCTTTTTTTCCACCTGATTTTGTTGTGTCTTCCTATGCACCTACTACGGAATCAGTTAGGCCTAATATGGCCATGATTTCTCGGATGTTTTCTGTTTTATCTAATAATTTTTTTCCAAAAATGCTTAACATTCTCAGGTTTTATTGGACCTTACCTTTGTATATTTGCTTTAAAAAAGTTACTAGTACAATAAGGGGTGCTAATTCTTCATTACAAATCATTGTTGTGAAAGAAAAGAGTAAAGCATTGTTACAGAGAACTGGAACATCTGAACTTGATAAACTATTATTAAATAAACTTGATTCAATTTTAACCCTATTGCCACATTAAACTACTTTATATTTATGTTATACCAATTAGTATAGCATAAAATCTTAGCTAATAATCCCTATTTAATAGTATATAAGTTTTAAGTTCTTAATTCTACAAGGCAATATAAAAAAAAATCCTTAATTTCCCCAGTGTGACCCACGTGACACATTTTCTCTTAGCATGTCATCTTCCTTATTTTATCCACCACCCCTTGAAAATGTACAAGATTAAACGTAAACTACTCTCTATAAAATCATCATTGCTCAGACAAACCATAATTTTTATAGTCTTCAATTTTGTTTGGTTACAGACCTGTCAAATAGAAAATCAGACCCTTCCTACCTTTCAGAATTCGTTAAGAGTTCTCTCTTACCTTTGATTATATATTACCTATAACCAATAGAAAGTCCAGGTTTTCATCTATCAAATGACATATTGTATAATGTTATGTTCTGAATGGTTAAATGTTAATTTCACTCAGAGTACCAACATCATTCCCATGAGAAAGTTAACGACTAGCTTGGATGAATTTGTAACAACTCTTGTCACATAGTTAGAAAGCCAGAAATATTTTGAGAGGTAAGGGAATGTGTCTACTTTTTGCATGTTATTAGTCTATATTCTTTGGTGCATTATTTAATTAAATAAAAATTATTAAGTGCATTACTATTGTTAGTATAAAAAATTAGGGTTAAAAAGTAACAAAAATGTAAAAATAGGGATCCTTTTAGGTTAGTTAAGATTAGATTAGGTAAAATAAATAATAATAATAATACTATAAAGATGTTTCAAGAGCCACACATGCGAGCAGCTCATAGTAGCTCATGGGTAATGTAATTCGTTAGTGTAACGTGAGCTGCATGTTCCCCGAGTAATTTACAACTTATAATGTCTCAGATAGTAGTTAGCCATGGTTCAAAGAGCAATAAAACAATTAAATTTAATTATAAATAGATGTATACTGTTATGAACTTAGAGTTACTTAGGATATACAAATGTAGTTTCATGTTACAATTTGAAGTCATTCTAGAAAGAAAAAAGTAATTTAGATTTATTTTGATTTTTTTTTTGGGTGGTTACGAGGTCAATAAAGACTTTAAATGAGTATAAAGAGGTCACATGGTCGGTCAGATTGACCGAGCCCATATTGAGAGAGTTAAAGGCAATTGTCCTTAGCTTTTGTGTGATGAAACTTGTAAAAGTATTTGTTGCACTACATGATGGATAATGTTGGTGATTCAGATAGAAGTTTAGAAGAACATGTTAAAATGATCAGTATGTTTATATTTTACAGTACGGTCTAAAAAAAGCTGTAGAAACACTTGTATGCTGACAACTCAGTAAATCAAACAACTTACTGTCTTAGCATGCACCATTTTATGATAACATTTAGACTTTTCCCTTTTTAGTGCTTCATATCTAGCTAGAAGTAGTGCTAATTAAACTGGAGACTTGTTTATGTAAATATGTTAACGACTTAATGGTGACGTATGTTATTATTGGTATTAGTCCATGTCTAGTAAGTTCTGACAAACATAGTTAATTGAGTAAGCTATTCAGCAATATTTTCTTTTAGTGAATAAGAATAAAGTACATCAACTTTCTGAAACTTTTATTATTAAAGCAATTTTATGCTAAGTCATGCCTGCAATCAGGATTTTTTTTTATCCATAAGAAAGACCTCTACAAATATACAAGTATAGTTGATAAGAAAATAACTTTATGTGTATATTATAGATAGAATACTTAGTTTTATAAATTGTTATATGATATAATGTCAGATAATTTTTTATTTTTAACATATTTTCGTATTTATAAATTTACATTAATTGATATATTCATTTTATTTTTTTTATCTAAAATATAGCTTGGATACATGAAATATATCACATGGAAAATTTTAGATATAATAATATAATATATAAGACTTACAGGATGAAAGTTCTGTTTTACTAAACCAGTACTGAGGGTATAATATGATACCAAAATCAGTCGTCTGAAAATTTTGCAATTGTGTGAGTGCATTTTTCCGTGCAGTTGTATGTTTAATGTGGAACTCGGTGCTTGTAGTACAATTTGATTAATTTGTTTTTTGCAAATAATTTATAAAAAAAGTGAAAAATGGAATTATACATCTAATTCAATGCTTTAAAAATTAATTTACTCTATCACATATATAATATTACTTTACATGTACTTGCAGTTTTAAAATTAAGATAAGTTTTGAATTTTATGTGAATTCAGATATGTAATTTTTTAACTAAGTCTGTTTTTACTGTCTGTTTACTGTTGCACTCATTTATGAGACATCTTTTACTCTTGCTTCTAACTCAAAGTAATCATGTAGTGTGAAATCATATTAGCTTGACACCAAACTACAAAAGGGCAGTAAAATAAACTTTCAATTCAAATTTACAACTGTGCAGCTGGATTCACATGTATACAGTAAGTTGTAACTCATTTAGCATTTTAAATTTAACCAAGTGTAGAACATTTAGAGGCTTTTTGCACCATTTACCACAGTATTTCAAACTAATTGTATAGAGACCACTGAAATAATGTTATGCAAAAAAATTAATTGAAATACATTAAGCCTTTTCAGACAAAATGAAAGTGAAAGAAGAAAACTTGTAGACAAGTATTAAGAACAACTGTTTTGATGTTGCTTCTTATTGTATAATTGTTGTCATGAGGCATAACTGTTTAATTTATAACAAGTCTCACAAATGTTGAAAAAAATAAGCATGATGTTGAGGAATAAAGCAATTTCTAGAAAAGGATTTCCCATATATGTATAATTGTCTAATGAATATACAACAAATATAGTTGTCATACTATTATTTTAATTGCATTTCTTTGCTTAGAGAAAATAAGAACTTTATTTTCAAGATACTGTTGACTTTTTTATGTTAATTTATGACTAAAAGTTGTTCTTGTAATGGTTGACGTTTGTCAATTATTGTGTTTGAAAAATGGTGAGAGAGGCTGGTGTGATCATATTTATTATTGTGTTAGGCAGTCTGCTTATAATTTAATCAGTTGCTGAAGATATACTTAATTATAATAAAGTTGAAAACTGAATGTATAAGAGCTTAGTTATTACATTGTGTAAAGCATTACTTTGCCAAACTATGCAGACTTTTTTTTTTTCAAAGGGACATTTTAGTTGCCATACTGTCACACTATTTCCACTATGAAATAGAAATTCGTTATCTGAGAAGATTATAAGGGCAACATTTTTACTTAACATAATTCTAGGGTGTTGTTGTGGATTGGGTTAGGACTTGAAGATAATTAAAACAGTGTGGAGCTAGACAATTAAATGTTATATTAAAAAGTTGTATAACTAGAGCTCATGTTAGATTGTAATAGTATTAATTGTTATTTTGTTTATTATAGATAAAAATATTATGCTATGTACCAACTATAGAGACCACTGAAATAATTTTATGCATAAAAAAAAATACATTAAACCTTTCCAGACCATTGGGTTATTTTTTATGTCTGCAAAATATTTTTATAATAATTACTCTCAGAGGCCTATGTATTTTTAACAAGATACCAATAGGATTTTTTCTATTGAAAATTATCATCAAAGATACATAAAAATAAAACAAAATTATTTGAACTTTAGGTATAGCTCTGGCAGTATGCAAAGTAAGAAGTGATTAATAATGTCACTATTACTCTTTACATGCATAGGTTGGATTTGGCATCAAACAAAGAGTAACAATAGGTGAAAGCTTGAAACAAAGCTGTAAATATCTTCCATGTATATTATAATGGTTAAACGTTTTTGTAGCTCAGCAGTAAGTCTGATGGCTTGAAATGCTAAAAATCAGGTTTGATACCTGTGGTGGTCAGAGCACAGATG